GCCGAAATCTGGTCCACAAGTTCAGAGGAGGGCTGGAAAGACCTAGAGAATGCTCAGCTTCAAGGAGCCCGCCGCATCTTTGGCAAAAAATCCAACCACTCCACCATTTGTGAAGCACTACGCGGGGACCTTGACTGGCTCTCTGTCAAATCACACGTCGCTCTTGCTAAGCTGAAGTATTTTGGGCACATATGCCGCCCGCCCGACACACGACTTGTCAAACGTGTGTTTTTGTATAGGCAATCGCAGTATTTGCATGTCTGCCATGTGTTGAACTTAACCCAAATCAAAGATGATTCTTGGTACTCCGAAGTATGTGAGCTTAGAACTCACCTCTCTGGGAATGTCTCCCTCAGTATGGACTGCGGCAAAAGTGGCCACTTTGAGCAGACACGAGTGGCAGCACAAAAATTGACAAGCTTGTTGAATCTGCTGATACGGCTCAACTTTTTGCTGACTTCTCCAGAACACAATCAGGGCTTCACTATGCAACGATAAAAACTCAGCTTGGACAAGAACCCTATCTTTGGAAATATGATCGCCGTTCAACTACGGTCAAATTCGCTCTTTGCTCTAGTTCTTATGGCCTTCAAACTCGTCTTCATGGTAAACGGAATCCTCAGAATCTCAAGACCTGCCGCTTATGTTTTGTAGGGGAGAATGAAACAGAGGAACATCACTTGCTTCGGTGCTCCTCGTTCCACGCTGAACGGGTCGCTTTTTGTGATGCCCTCACGCATCACATGCAAACTTCTTTTCCTCGCGAATACAACGACCTTTTTTTCTGCTGCAGGACCCTTGCAAACGGCCTTTCTGTTGGGCCGCAGCGAGCCACACTGGTCCGCACAGGCACCCGTCTTAATCGATATGCTCATTCGACCTTACCTTATAGCTCTCGCGGACAAGCGAAAGCGTCTGGTTACTGAACTGGATGCGCGCTGAGACAACTTCTTCTCTCCTTACTACAGGATGGCCCGTAAGAAGTCTATCACGGAGAAGGCTGACAAGGCCCCCAAGACTCTACATGACCCGGCAAGTGAGGAGGAGACCGAGGACCTGACTCCCCTCGAGTTCCAAGATGAACCTGCCCCCGAAGTGCCGTGCCGCCTTTGCTTGAGGACCCAGCGCTTGACGTTAACGACCCCCCCGCCAATGATGCAAGCCTGCCTCTGCACGAGATTCTGGTGGACTCATATGCAGCAAAAGTGAAGGAGACAATCTCTGGCTGCCAACTCTGCAATTCTTAAGGTTGGTAGTCCTCTCATTATTATTGTCCCTTCTCCTAAATCATCCAGTCTTGGTTCAGTGGCGAGTCAAGTGCTGGTACTGGCTATCAAAATGCAAGTCTCTCAGTGCTCAGCTAGTCAGCAGCGGGTTAGCTAACCCTCAGCAGCGGGTGACCAGCTCGTCAGCAGCGGGTTAGCAGCTCGTCCGCAGCGGGTTAGCGGCTCGTCAACAGCAGGTTAGCCTTGGTTTGTGGTGGGTTCGGTGCTGCGCGGACGGGTTAGCAGCTGGTCTGAAGTGGTTTACGTCTGAGGTGGGTTTAGCGGCTAGCCCTAAGCAAACCAAGCAGCCTGCACTAAGTTATGTGCCGTCATACAAAGTCGGGTTGCCCCTGAATTGCAGCAGCATGTTAACGGCCATTTTGCCGCTCAAGTTAGCTCCCGAGTCACTTGCAATTAAGCCCCGGTTTGTGGCCAGCACGATAGCTACGGGTTAGGGACAAGTCATGCACGATCACAAGCGCCTGGCATAATCTGGTTGTGACATGTTTGTCAATTGCTGGTTCTGAATCCGCCCACAAACTTGTCTCGATCCCCGCGTGCAGGAATCTGGTGGTATGTTGACCCTCCCCCTCAAGGGGAGTGCAAGCCGTGGTGCACAAGCCAAAGCAGCCATCGACGCTGCCGCTCTGTCGAAGGCTTTGACGGCCGCCAAGAAGAAAAGCGAGAAGGCGGAGAAGCAGGCGCAAATTCTAAAGACCGAGTGTCTCGCCTCCGCCAAGGCGTCCGGGAAAGTCGCCATTGTTCGCAAGCCCCCGGGCCTGTCCCTCCTCGAGCCTGAGGCGCAGCCGTTGCTCTCACCGCAGTCCATTGCATTTGCAGTACGTAGCGAGTGCCAGCCCCTCCTGGCCGAGGTTTGCGCTACGGCCCTCCGCCAGGCGCCCCATCCTCAAATAGACATTGGAGGGCTGTTGGTGGCGCTAGTCGCGCGTCTTCAGTCGGGTCAGGTCCTTGGCAGCATCCTCACGTCCACCCAGCACATCGTCTCAGAGCTAGAGCGTGTGGTCACTGTCATAGACGCCCCTGCCCCTATGTAATGAACGGGCTTT